GCAAATGGGTAACCAGTGATCACCTTTCGGCTATCCCAATTTTTTTTAAAAGTTGATTTTGAAAATTAAAGAAATTTCAATGATGAACTGTTTCTCTTATTTTATTAAAAATTTATTTTAAGTCTTACCAAAATACAGTGAAAGCTATCAAGTTGTCTAACTGTATGTTATTAATCTCATGTCTAAGCTGATAACAATAATCAAGTTCCGAACTGACAGAAACAATTAATTCTCCTTTATAAGTTGATCACTTATTATCCCACAAGTGGTCAACTTATATAAATTTCAACAATTTTTTGATTAATCATTGATCATTTCTTTTAGTTTGTTAGAATATCCGGAGATAAATACTACATCATCCGCAAAATGAAATGATGATTTAAACGTTATCTATTCGTTTATCTTAACCCTTTTAACTCTAATATTCATCTTAACCACTTCCTCTAACAAAACTGAAATAAATAACTTCAGTGATATTGGATCTCTTAGGTAATATTCAGTAATTTGATATGCGAACTCGACTAATTCATCAAATTAATCACTATATCATTAAATTACGTTGTTGTTGACGTATGACTTTTTAGGCATACAGGTGCGATTGTTCTTGTTTTCCAGTGGCGCCATCTATGGTCAAGAATTCGACTTCTGCCACACCATACGTCACACCCGTTTATAGGGTGGACCCAATCATACACCCATTCATTTATCCACAGATCGTAATTTTGACCAGAATCGGAGAACGATCGATCTCCAATCCAGTACCCCCAAAGGTTTTGATTTGTTAAGGGAACATGGAGTCGACAGATTTACCGTGCATCAGTCACCATTTTACTACAAGGGGAGCCTATCCCACAAACTCTCGGACATGGGCCCAGCGCCCTACCGACCTAGCTATCCCGTCATATTAAATTACGTTAAAACAGTCATTTAATGGCCTATGTGAATGCAATTTTTAACAATAATTATTTGAAATAGAAAAATAGGATAATTTTCATAAATAAAAGTACCATGAGTAGTGCCCCTAGCGTCGTATGATAACGTTTCTGGTTAAGGATTGGTATGCAATGTTTAATTCTACCACCAAGTTTGTTGCGGCTTTTTACCCAAGTTTGTATCGTTTGTAATTTCCCTATTTAGGATTGATGCAACAATAGATGCGAATAAGCTAATATTGCAGGGGAAAAAATTCTACACTTGTATCCAACGAAGCAAAAAAACTTATTCATTTTACCAAAAAAAGGTGTCAGATCCCTTAAAGTTAAATGATCATTAGAATTTTATTCATTGAAATTTTAAACATCCAACACTTCAATATTGAAGATCAAGTATTGAGTTTTCATGGTTCTGTCATCCAAAACAATTATCGCTGAATTAATAAAGAATTAAAAGACCTCAGCAATTTAATTTAACAATATATTCTTAATCGATTAACTCCGATACTGATGAGGCGTCGACCTTTGTTAAAAAAAAATTGCCAATAATCAATTTACTTTTGATTAATCGGTAAACCGAATGAAGGGCGAAATTTTGATTTGGCGATTAATTCTCTACGCTTTTATTCGAAGCGTCGTAATTAATGTTTCTTTGGCGAAGAGACCCTGATTAGAAAGAAAGATATCTCGATTATAAATGACATTCTGGTCCTGGGATTGAGCAAGGATTATTCGGAAGACGCTTTGTTCTCTTACCGCCATTTTCAATTGATTAAGTTTGAAATGATTATGAAAGATTTATTTTTAATGTATTAACTGATGAAATTATTAATATTTTTAATAAATTGAATGGTTTTGAAAACTTGATAGTACAGTTTGAGAAATTTTTTTTTAGTGTGAATGAATTTTAACTACTGAATAAGAAAACCAAGCAGATACTAATTGGTAATGTAAATGTCACAACTTCCAATGATTGCTTGAATTGAAATTAAATATCTTGGATAATCATTTATCACTTAATTAATTTATCAGTATTTTGTGCTAGATAAACCCCGAAAAAAACCCCACTGGATGTTAATTCATAGTTGAAATGCAGAAATTTCCAATGATTATTTTGAACTGAAATTGAATACCTGGAATAATTAACAATCACTGATGCATAATTTTAGTTTATCAGAGAAATTTTTTCTCAAATTATTTTAAAAACAATTTTTTGGAGTGAAAATTTTTTGGCGAGTTTTTTTTTCCTTAAAAACTTTTGGATTTAAACCAAGTAGACATTAATTCATTTTAAATATCACAATTTGCAATGATTGCTTTGAATTAAAATTGAATAACTGGGATAATTAGTAATCACTGAGGTATAACTTTATCAGGGATATTTTTTGATAGATAATTTCAAAAAAATAATTTTTTGGAGTAAAAACGTCTGGATAAAAACTAAGTAAATACAAATTTATATTCTAAAAATTCATAGTTTCTTATGTCTGTGTAAATTAAAATAAATACCTCGAAGAATTTAAATAACATAAAAGTAATTTTTTGGAGGCCATTTTAAAAATTTTTTTATAGTGAATAAATATTAACTTTTGGATGAAAACTGAGCATATATATATTTATAATTTAAATTCTGCATGTTACAATTAAAATCAAACATACGGGTCAATTTACCTATTTAATTTATCAGTGGTATTATTTGTTAAGTCCTTTTATAGATAATTTTCTAGCGTTAATGAGTCTTAACTTATGGATTAAAACCAAGTAGATACTGATTCGTTATTATCATGTCACGATTTTCAGTGAATGTTAGAATTAAAGTTGAATTGCTCAGAAAGTTTAACTAACAATAACAAGTTATATATATTTTTTGTAGGTCATTTAAAAAACGGTATCCTAACATGAAATAGTCTTCACAAAGTATCTATCATTTAACCGTATAAAAACCAAGTAGAGACTAATTTACATCTTAAATGTCACAATTCTCGATGTCTCGAAAAAATAAAGAAATTTGATTGAAATTGAAGGTCATCGAAGTTTAACTATTTATTATCACTGATTTAATTCTTTTTCTGAATTAAATTGAGTTTTTTTCTTCAAAATTTCAAACCAACTTACAACTACCTCAAGTTACTTCACCAAGTAATTGGATTGTCCAGTTATATTTTATCTTCGCCTAAACGTACGCTATGAGTTTTGAAACAATGTGCAATGAATAGTTTTTTTTTAATTGTTAAAAAATATTTTTAATAAATTATATAGTAACTTTGGGTAAATTATTACTTCCCTTAACATGCCATATAATTCATTTTATAAGTCTGTTTAAACCATAAATGTGAATGGTTCAGCATTTCATTCTCATCGATGTATCACAGTTTAATTAAATTATAAATAGGGTGTTTTGTAATCACCACCCTTAAGATATATTTTTAGAGTCCTTCTCAAAAATGAAATCCAAAAAACCTGCACTTTATTAGTCTTAAATTATTATTCATACAAGGGAAAAAATGAAATCAAAATTCTGCTTATAAATTAGGAGGATGGAATTAAAAACATTAAATCCAGTTTGATTGTTCGATGAACCCTAAGAGTGTTTTTAATAATCACTTTATCTTTAAATCAAACAGATTCATTGTTTTCATTACCGTATTAGTCGTTAGTTAGATTTCGAAAGCGTTCTTGCTTCTTACTCACTTAATTATTAATTTGAGAAAAACGAATACGCTTTTTTAATTACAAGATTATGTTAATTACAAGATGTGTTTATAGTTTACTATCGTTTTACAAAAAGTCGCGGCGGCTCAAGGGATAGAGCGCTCGTCACCCAATGAAAACACACAGGCTGGAATCTCAGTGAGGCCTTATCGATTCGAATGCTGCTCCCAGCTCGCAACGACTGTGGTAATGACGCAAATTATGGTTATTCAGAAGGTGGGTAATTTAGAAGGTGATAAGAAGAGGATTCAGGGATAAATCCTCTTCTTATCAGGTGGGAATAAAGAGAAGGGGGGTGGGAAAACTCACGTGAGGGTTTTTTGAAATCCATGTTGAGTAAAATTTAGAAAGATAGACATAAAGCTAAAAATTGAAAAGACTTTTAAAAATTATGATTTTGAGGATGATTTAGGAAAAATTATAGATATTGGGGAGAGTGAGGACGTTATCAATTGTAAAATTGTAATCAAACATATGGGGAAATTTACCTATTTCTTTTATCAGTGTTATTATTCAGGGGTAGAAATATTTTTTATATATATTGCTAGATCCCACATGAAATTATTTTTTTTAAATTTCATATCTCTATAAATTATTCTCCTCTAGTTTTCTTCGTCGAAAAAATGTGTATGACATCATTCCAATGCTACATATTATACACATTATAATATGTACTCATAATTCTTTGATTTATTACCCTAAGGTATAGTACCCTAATTATTACCCAAGGGTATACCCTAATGTATGGATGAGTAAGTATAGAATTGGTAGGAAATTAGTATGCCATCAGAAATTTTGTATCTTAAACCATAAAAAAATTATAGGCAAGAAATAGATTTTCCAGGTTTTTGCTAGAAAAAAGATCTATTTTCTTCTTGTTTATTTTTATTGCTTATTTATTATCTTCTTGTTCATTTATTCTATTTATTTTCCTAAAAAAATCTTGGTCGCAAAATGCTGATTCGTATTCAGCAAACCCTATTACAAAAGTATACAAAAATAAAAACTTCCGCCAATCTTTCTGAGTAAGCTCTATTGCCTGGATTATTTGTTTTTATTTATGAATTTTATTGATCTTCACTCTGCTTAAAATAGTCTTATTCATGGAGATAAAAAACAAAACTTTTAAAATAATTATAAACAGTTGTTATGCAAGAGATTCCTTTGATATTTTTCGATAAAAGATAACAAACGAAAAAAAAATCAATTTTTTACTGAGAAGTTGTGTTACGAAAGTATGCTGTAAGTATAGATAATAGTGCGGTGATATTTTTTTCTTTCTTATTTTTCTTTATTCATTGTATATTACTTATGGGATCTTTAACCCTAGTGTTAAAGATAACATCCTCACATGGCATCAAACATTTTCCTGCGCTCCAAAGCTTATCTGTCTCAATAACATATGTGCGAACAATTTTTGTAGCTCTGCTTTATTTTTTATAAAATACTCATGATATTGTTTTTCAATTTCGCAGCGTCTGAACGATATTTTTTTACATCTGAAATTCGAACACTTATAATTAGCAAGTTAAATTTTCTATATTTTGACTCATCAAAATGGATGACAATTTCTTAATCTGGTCTTGCAATAGAAGAAAATTCATGAAAGTAATTTCATCTAAAGACGAGTACAAGGAGCGTCTTGGGTGCAAATTAAATTCCGTTTGGTACTTAAAGATAAGAATTTTAAAGGAGTATGATTATAATTCAGTGGATGTTTTTCCTGGTGAACGCAGCTACTACACCAACTGGGAATTCCGAGTTGTCAGAGAACATGGTTTAAACGCAACTTGCGTTAACGCCAAGCTGGTGTCGAACACTAAAGTGCTTGTGGATAAAGACTTATACTTCAATCTGGATTGTACTGGATCTGACACATTTTACTGTGATACAACGAAGTTAACCGATTATTACCTGGATTGTGTCTTGAGGTTCCCTGAAAGCAATGGTGCTGAAAATATAATCGAAGAACAGACACTTATATCTGAACTCAATTACTTGGTGGAAGATTTCCAAGCCATGTTTGATAAAAGACACTTGACGGATGTGACACTTCAATGTGGATCTGACGTCCTGAAGGCTCACAAAATTATCCTCTGCACCAGATCACCAGTTTTCGAAGCCATGTTTGCTAGTCCGATGCAGGAAAGTAAAAATAACACGGTTATTATTATGGATCTGGATTCTAGTGTCTTTGGAGCCGTTATCAACTTCATGTATAGTGGTCGGGTAAAAATTAATTCCACCAGAATGGCTTGCGATCTTTTATATGCTGGTGAGAAGTATCAAATTAAAGGACTTAAAGAAGGGTGCATTAAGTATTTGAAATCTGTGCTGTCTGTTGAAAATGCGATAAAAATTCTTGAGGTGTCTGATTTGTACGACATTCAGCTGAAGTCCAACGCGTTGAACTTTGTTAAAGGTCACTTTGAGGAATTGAAATGTACAATTGAATGGAGTGAACTTAAATCAAAGAATATTACTCTAGCTTTGGAAGTATATTCAATTTATGAGTGAAATATTTAACATAATAATAGACGACAAATTATTCATTTTGAATTAATATTGGTTTGCATTTTATGTAGATAAGTAATATAAATGTATTTTAAATTTAGATTGATATTTTTTCGAAAAATTTTATTACTATTATTTAATTTTAGAGATTATCTTCTTTTTGCATTTAGCACACAGTTGACCGTCCAAGAAATGTAAATATTTTTTAGAACTTGCACCAGTCTATTTATTAAGTAATCGTTCGATAAGAATATATCTTATCAAATTTAGTCAATCAATTAAGTCAAATTAAAAATAGTTTTGTGGTGCAGTAAAGGAGACACAAGAGATCTTGTAAGCAGTATTTTAAATGTTATCATTCCTATTTATAGCTATATTTATCGCCATTAAGTTGAACTGTATTAATTTTACAATTGTGTAACAGCAACTATACATGCTTGCGCAAATTTGTATTTCTTCTTAAAAAATCTTTTTTTTTTCTTTTTTTTTTTTGGTAATGGAATGAGATATTAAAGTATAAACGAGTCTAGATTGATAATTGTAAAAACATGCAATCAAAATAGTCTAATTGCATTATATTTTATTAATATGACTGACGTTAGTTTTAGTAAATATTTTCTTCTGTTCCATCACTAATTATTGTGATTGAGTAAGCTGTTTTTAAAATATAATCAAGTACTTTTACTTAATACAACAAACTTTAAAAGAAATTGTGTTTATATTTCAGCTGTATAATCATTAACTATGGGTAAATACAGCAAAAACAAATTGCTTTTCCCACAACTGAGAAAAAAATTATGCTCAAAACTACCAGAATATGGTAAAATTTGCCGTGTTTCTGACGTTATAGAAGAATAAAAATTACACTAATTTTTACCGAAGCGTTTTGTTAACTATTTCTGGTAAAATTATCAATAAAATATGGGGTTTATTACTATGCTGATTGTTAGTTAATGTGGTAAAATTTGGTAATTTTATCATGATACCTTGAATCATGACATAAAATCCTTTATTCAGTTAAATTTACTTATCAGTTTTGTATATTTACTAAATGGCGGTAGCTTAGCTACTGGTAGGGTCACCCAAGCCGGACAGGTCGGAGGGGAGACACCAGACCAAGAGGAACACCCTGGTCCTCCAGGTTGGGGGTTGGGCATGGGGCTAACAACCCCATCCTGTAAAAAACAAATTGTTACGAGGTCTCAAGAAGATAAATACCCGGACAATCTCTGTAGACGACTTGGAAAACGGCGTAAGGACATGATTATCGGAACCTGGAACATTCGAACTCTATATAAAAATAAAGGGTTACAACTACTAACTGACGAAGTGGATAGATATTCTATTGACTTACTGGCCATGCAGGAGATGAGATGGACTGGTGATGGCATCATAGAAAAAAGGAAACATACTATATTCTACAGCTGCGATATCAAAAAGCACGTCTTTGGAACTGGTTTTATTGTGGGAAAGCGCATTAAGCACTTGATTACTGACTTTGTGGCCAAATCCCCTAGACTGTGCAAAATTAGGCTGAGCGGTGCTATATTTAATTATAGCCTAATAAATGTTCACGGACCAACAGAAGATAAAGATGATGATGAAAAAGAAGCCTTCTATGAGGAACTTGACGACCTGTACTATTCCTGCCCAAGAAATGATGTCAAGATTATACTCGGGGATTTTAATGCGAAAATCGGCAAGGAGCATGAATTTAGACCTACAATCGGAGGACACAGTCTTCATGGCGACTCAAACGACAATGGACAAAGGGTTGTCAGCTTTGCCGCCGAACATAATATGGTGGTATCTAGCACCCTCTTCCCACACAAGAGAATACATAAAATGACATGGAAATCCCCAGATGAAGAAACATTCAATCAAATTGACCACCTTCTGATTGATAGTAGACACATGTCAGATGTCCTAGATGTCCGCTCATACCGTGGAGCGTGCTTTGATTCTGATCATTACCTAGTCAAAGCCAAATTAAGGGCTAGAATCTCCAATGCACGTAAATCTAATGGTAAACGACTTGAAAAGCTCAACTGTGATAAATTTAAGGAGGCGGAGATCAAACACACATATCAATCCCGGCTATCAGACGCTCTTAGAAATAAGAACATCTACTGCATTGAAGACATTGATGAAAAATGGAGCGTGTTCTCTAATACTGTTGTTGAAACAGGCAAAACTGTTGTGGGTAACGTTGGGAAAGCAGAGAGAGTGGATTGGTTTGACGCTGAATGCCACGTAGTTACCCAAAAAAAGATTGATTCATACCAAAAAATGCTTAGTAGAAAGCACTCAAGACTCTCCGTAGAAGAGTACAGGGCCGCTAGAAAAGAAGAAAAGAGAGTCCATCGGACCAAGAAAAGGAAATTCCACGAGGATCTACTGCGAGATGTTGAACATCTCAAAAGATCAAATGAAAGCAGAGCTTTCTATCGTGAGATCAACCTTGGTCGCAGAGATTTTAAACCTAGAACAGCTCTCTGCAGAAATAAAAACAGGGAAATACTGAGTGACAAATCTAAGATAATGGAAAGGTGGAAAGAACACTTTCATGACCTACTGAACATTGATCACCCACCAAGTGCTTCCAACTTCTCTCAAAATACCAATCAAGAAATGATCGATCCACCATCACTTGCTGAAGTTGTGGAAGCAATAAAAAAGTTAAAAAACCATAAGGCCCCTGGCCCAGATACCATTCCACCAGAATTACTAAAAAATGCTGGAGAAGATGCAATTAAAGACATCCACCACATTATGCTATCAGTGTGGGAGACTGAAATACTTCCCCAAGAGTGGAAGCTCAGCACTGTCTGTCCCATTCATAAAAAAGGAGATGTCCTCGACTGCTCTAACTATAGAGGTATTAGCCTCCTTTGTACTACCTATAAGATCTTCTCTAATATTCTCTTCACCAGACTATCTTTATATGCCGAAAACATCATAGGGGATTACCAGTGTGGATTTCGCAGGGATCGTTCCACAATTGAACAAATATATAACCTCCGGCATATTCTTGAAAAGACTAAGGAATTCCAAATCAATACACATCACCTTTTCATTGATTTCAAAACAGCGTATGATAGCATTAATAGAGAACTGCTTATCGACGCTCTGAGACATTTTAACATTCCTGAAAAACTTGTGAAACTAATATCCCTTACATTAAATGACACCAAATTGAAAGTCAAAATACAGGGAAACTTATCTGAACCTGTTGAAATAAAAAATGGCATAAGACAGGGCGACGCATTAGCATGCCTTCTTTTCAATCTTGCTCTTGAGAAAGTAGTAAGAGATTCAGGAATTAACACTAGAGGAACTATTTTCTCAAAATCTGTTCAAATTATGGCCTATGCTGATGATATTGATATCATAGCAAGAACCCCTAAAGACCTAAAGCAGGCATTCCTGGACCTGGAAAGAGAGGCCAAAAAAATGCACCTCTCAATTAATCAGAGTAAGACAAAGTATATGCAATGTATCAACTATACCGATACCTCCACGCACATCGAGATTGGAGAGTATAAATTTGAAAAGGTGAGCTCTTTCACCTACCTTGGCTCTGAAATCAACTCCGAAAACTCAATTTCCACAGAAGTAAGGAAGAGAGTAACTGCAGCCAACAAGTGCTTTTATGGCATAAGAAAATTCCTTAAATCTGACAACATTAAAAGAGACACCAAGTTGCTAATATATAAAAGCCTAATAAGATCAGTTCTCACTTACGCATCTGAAACCTGGACCTTGTCCCAAGCTGATGAGAGGACCATCGCTGCTTTCGAGAGGAAGATACTCCGGTCCATTTTTGGTGGTGTGTGTGACAAGGGAGTGTGGAGAAGGAGAACTAACTCTGAACTCTACAGGATATTCAGAGAACCGGACATTCTGAAGTACCATAAGATTCAGCGCATGAAATGGGCCGGACACATTGTAAGAATGAATGATGACAGAACAACTAAAAGAATCTTTTTGGCAAGGCCAACTGGAGCTAGAAAGAGAGGCAGACCCCGACTGAGATGGGCGGATTGCCTCCAAAGGGACTTTGCCACAATCAAGGTCAGAGACTGGAAAGCCGTGGCATGCAGAAGAAAGGACTGGTGCAGTCTTCTTGAGAAAGCCAGGGTCCACCGAGGACTGTCGAGCTACTGATGATGATGATGATATTTACTAAATGTGTGGTAATAATAATTATAGTTTTGAAAACTAAAATTTCCGGGATTAATCATTGCCATAACGAACAGTAAAATTTCTAAATGAATGGTTTAAATACCGTATATTTTGATTCTATTACCAGAATTATGTTTTTTTTCTTCTTCTTTTTTAAAAGAAATGTCATAACTATGCAAGTACGGTGATTTTACAGAAGACAAGGAGACCTTTAGATCAAACATTGATACAAACTAGTAGCAGTGGAGAACTTTCTGATGGAACTGACCCGCCTTTTTTTCAGAGTGTTAATGTTAATGTCCGAACGTTTCTCCTAGTCCGGAGCATTAGCTTAAAAATTCAACTTAATCAAAGTTTTTCAATGAATTACGATTTAAGTTTAGATGTTTTGTTACATGCTATTAAACATATTTTTTTTTATGTTTTGGTATATATAGATACACGCACTTTAAATTTACTGAAAAGCAATGTATCGCGATACGACAATTTTTACATGAATTATGCTATTTTTCTATACCATTTGTTACAAATTGCTAATATCCTGTCTCCTTTTTGTTTTAAAGAAATATTCATGTCCCGTTAGCAAAATTTAAGCCCTTTAAAGATCTTATTAGTATTGATAATTGCAGGAAAATTACTACATACCTCACCAATGCAATCTTGGCTACATTAGGCATAGAGCCGTAAATGACACACGAAACATGACACATATGTCCGTTATCAGGAATTAAAAGACTCAAATATTGCCGCACATTGTTGGAACCTTGGGTATAGATTTAACTTCTATAGGGCCAAAAAACATTCCAACCATCTCACATCAGCTCATCGTAGTGCAGTGGAATCATCTTTCATTCATATAAATGCCGGTTACTTAGTTAACAACATGAGTTCTCATCTATATTGCAATGAAAAACATCCTGACTAAATTTACATTTTTTGGTCACCACCGTTTCCCTCGGGTTCCACGGGTTTTTTATTTTTTGGTTTTTTTTCGAATTATTTTTATTTTTCTTTGTTGTTAACTTTACGTTTTCTTTTTCAAATTTGTTTTGCTTTCCTCATTTTCACACCTGTTGGGATTTAAGAATTGGGGTTCTCGTTTTAAGAGCTTGAAAGATGTCGACCTTTTCCATTTTAGTAATATTTTGAGTTAATAAAGTTTTTCATTTATCAAATATACTGTATTTTAGTAATACGACAAATATTAGCTGCTGTTTTGTTTTTCCTCTTCTTGCTCCCTACGTTTAATATCATTTTATAAGCTTTTAATTAATGCTCTATACCGTAAATTTAAGTGTAATTTCAGAAATCTGTACCATTAACTATGCATGATTATGTCAATTTCATTCATAATATGTTGATAATAAAAATTATTTATGTTTATATACACTAATTAAAAATTCTTAATTTAAGTTTCTTTTTTTAAATTAAATATTTGTACCGGTGATAATATAAACATGGTGAGAATAAAATTAATGAACTAATTTTAATATGATAACAAAATATCACATATTAATAAATAATTTATTCTCATTTCCCATATATATCAGGTTTTTTTGCTTTGTGGTTCAAACAAATACACGGACAATATTTGTGTTTAAAGCAGTATACTTTACAAATTATCTTATCCTTCAATGATTATACATTAATAAATTATTTTATTTTCAGATAATTTGAATGGGTTGAGTATGCTTTGAAATGTAAATGATTAGCTGAGGGCAAATATTTTATTTACATAAATTTACAGTTTTAACAACAAAAAAAAACCAAAAAAAATGCCGAGAGTTTTGTGCATAATTTACTAAACCAAGCAAAACTATTTTTGCTTTATGAGAAAATGCATATTAGCCTGGTTGGAGCTTAATTATCTACCTACTTGGAAATACTGTTCTATAGAACAAAGATTTAAGGAAAAAATTATGCAAAAAGATGATGTAAGATTTCCCAAAGATTATTTTCCCTAAAACCTAAAATATCATTAAGCAAAACCAAAATATTATTAATAAGCAAACCTAGCAAGGAAATCTAAAACAAATTTAAAATATTATTAATTACGTTATTAATCAACCTATGTGAAATAGTATCATTTGAAAATTATGAGAAAAATAAAATGAGAGAAATGTCAAGTTTAATACCGCTGTAAAATACTGAATTTTAAAAAAAAATAGGAAGAATAGAATTAATTTTGGTTATCTGATATTCGTAGATATTATAAGTAAATGTTTTTCTACTAGTAGTTGTTAAGTAAACGTTGTTCTGTTGTTTTGGTAAAGTTTTTGAGTTTCTACAATATAAACTATCAAAAGTAATGACTATAGTACTATAGTAAAGTACTAGTATAGTATAGTAAAGTACTATAGTATTGGGAGCTCTGCAAAAAAAATTCACATAAAATTACGGTAAAACGTACCGGCACCCTGAGTAGGGGAGAGTGGGGTCAATTGTAAAATTTTTTACTTAACTATTTTTAACTAACAAAAAATCCAATATATCATTAGTATTAATTGACAGACGAGTAAAGTAGACTATCCCCTACTAGAAAAAAATAAATACCTTATTTTAAATGTTATTATATTAGTTATTAACAATTTTTGACAGTCGTGCACTTGTTACAATTGTCTCCACTTACGGGGTCAATTGTAATAGTTCTTAAATTCAACTAAAACATAGTTAATTATACATATTATCATAGTTGTGATATATTTTTTTATTGATCAAAATAGTAAATTTTAGGAGTAAAAATAATAATGAGCAGAGACCTAAAGGGTTAAACTTTTAACTTTAAGGGGTTAAAAATTTTAATTTATGCTGTGAAAGGTGACAAATAAAACAATGCACATGCAACATAATATAAATGATATAGGAAACTATTGGTGGTTCTTAAAGAGTTAAGTAATAGTTTGTAAATATAAAATTATTTATTTTCAGCTGTTACAATCGTCCCTTTACTTATTGTTACAATCGTCCCCAATACGCCATTTCAGCTTCATTTGTTAAAAACAATGCTAGTTAATTAACAAAACTAATCTTTTGTTCTTTTTTTTTTGAAGTGTTAATTAAGGTGTCCACTTACATATTCGGTTAATAATTTTTATTTGTTGAAACAAAATTACTTTGCTACAATATAATATTCTAATACCAAAAAAAGCACTTACGTACCGTGAAAATATCTTTTGTGATGTAACTCTTTCAAAAGTACATAAAAATGGTTGCCAGCAGGGGTGTACACGTAGATTTATTAAATACATCTTGTGCGCCACCTAGGAACCAAATCTAGAACCCGACACTCGAAATTTTTGCTCTGTTACAATCGTACCCTGTTACAATTGCCCCCACTCTCCCCTACATTATCCATAAAATCCACTTTACTGTGAAATTCGTTTTTACCGCAATTTTTACAGTAATATTTAGTTAATGACAGTACTTAATAATTTCACAGTAATATTTAGTTAATTACAGTATTCAATGAATGTACAGTAAATATTACTATTAAGTAAATATTATTATTAATATTATTATTAATATTATTTTAATTTAACAATTACTTTTAATACTCTTTAATTTTATTTGTTATATTTAGCAAATTAATTGTATTTGTTATATTTAACAAATACAATTTAATACTCTTTAATTATATTGAGAAGATTTATGCGTTTTACTTATGTTAAAAATATAAATAAACAAGCTGAATACCCGTTCTTCGTAAGGGGTGAATAAGAAAATAAAATAATCAATAAATCAGTACTGAACAACAGTTCTGTACTTTTGTACATGAACTCTACAAAATCATACACAAAACAAAAAGGCGTATACCGATACAATTAATATAGTTAAAATAATTCCAATTATTTATTTATTAACGGTGTTTATGCGTTATGAGATTAGGCAAAGCATGTTTTTTTATATTTTATCCCATTCGAATAAAGATTAACTACATTCAGCATCACTTAACATGATGCTATTGCTTGCTGCCAACTCCAGATAGTAAAAATTTACCACTATTAAATATTTTTCTTTGGTACTTATCTTTTTGGAGAGGCCTCTATGAAAGTTTAGGAAGTGTGAACTGTACTACATGGGAATTGACAATACCTTAGCAACAACTTTATTTTGACTCCAGTTTGGCTCAAAATTGGCACAATATAGGTCCTATATGAACATCCACGGAGAGATCAATATTGAGATGTCTAGATTTTTTAATATTGGTCCTATATAGGGACAGTATCGGCCTTTATGTGGCCAATATAGAGCCTATATTAGCTGAAAAATAATTATAAAATATAGGGTGGTTCTGACAATTCTGTATAGGACCTATGTTGGTTGTAAAGTGGCTGTATAATATTGGGAGAATCGGACAATTCTATATAGGACCAATATCGGAAAAATAACGGCCTTTTGAACCCTTATTGAGCCAATATTCGTGAATATTGGTTCAATGATGGCCCTAGTTATTTTGCTGCTGGGGTATGCAAATGAAAACAGATGCATTCCAACTAAGGGAAATGAAACAATGTATCATCCATATCAAATTTGAGCTTTCGAACATAATTGCAGAACAATTGAAGACGAATTAAAAGCAACTGCCTAAGTTATTTCTAACGATAAAGTATGGAGTAAAGATGTAAGTTTTAGCTTAAAACTAAATGATCCTGTTTTGACATTAGGGGGGTATCATTGCACCTCAAATGAAACTGCTTGAATGTGGTATTTTTATGTATTTTGTTTTGAACTGAAGAACAGACAATAATTGAAAACTTTTTTCGAATATGTTATGACAAGTTTACATTTAAAATTAATTTTTTTTAAACTATAGATTGTTTCGCTATTTCTCTTTTTCCTATGCTTTAATTATTTTTTTCTTATTAAATAGAAACAATTTGATTATTGAAAAAAATTTTGGTGATATATTGGATGTGTTTCTTGTAAACAAAAATTTTGAACAAATAATAAGTGTTTAAAGGGAATTTCGTGAAACGAAAAAT